TGAAAAACAGCTTCTCATAAGAATACAATCGCTGTTCATGGCATAAAATTGTAGGTCCCTGCCCTTTGTGTGACAACATCAAGATGCACGCCACAAATATATAATAATATATATTTTTAATTAGTTAATTGAGTTAGACCCCTCAAATAGGTGGTAGACCTCTTCAAAAGTATTTTCAAGCTTATTCATTGTTAACTCTCCTTCGCCGGACTCAAATTTTAATTATCTGATGGATTAAATGGAATTTTAATTGTAAAACATGTGGCAACCCGGCTAAATACAGTTAAAAAATACAAGTTTCTCAAACCCCCTTCGATTGAAACCCATATTTTAATAATCCATACAACGTATGAAATAATTTGAATTTATTTTTTAAACAGGTGGCAACCCTCTTCCCACACCTCAAAAATATTCTTAGCGTTCAAACTAAAGATTTCTTAACACACCTTCGTTTAACATTCATATTTTGATATTTCGTGTAACCTGTGTATAGGTAAAGTAAATTCGACATTTAAAGAAGGTGGCAACCCTCTTCAAAATATTTTCAAACTAGTACTTTCTGAAACCCCTTTCGGTTGGTACCCATAAGTTGATACATATTTTTCTTACCTAATAGGACTTTTTAAACAGGTGGCAACCCACCTATAGTTCAGCTGAGAAATAAAGCTTTTCAAGCCCATTTTTGTTGATAGCCATTTTGTAATATATATAATTGATTTATTTTATTTTTTAATAATTCGAGTTGAATTTTTTCAAAAAAGTAAAACCTTATTTACATACAGTTCAAGCCTTTTAATTTGACACCTCATTTTGGAAAATCGACCGAAGGGCGCGGATATGATGCCATTGATTTTTAAATAATTTGAATTTGATTGTTCAACAGGTGGCAACTCTTTTCCAAAAAATAAAACCACATCTAGGCGCTTTAATTTGACACCCCATATTTGAAAATCGAGCGAACGGTGCAGATCTTTTATTCTGAACAAAAAATGCGTTCGGGTATTATATATGTCTATATATATATATATTCTTCTCATAAAATTCGTACATAGTATATTATTTTTTTATTATTATTGGTATTCAAGAAGAATTTTGGGACAGTTTTAAATTAAAATATGAAAGAGTCCTTTCATTTAACTACATGCCTTTGGAGCCGCCTTCCGTCTCACTGAAGGCAAGTTCCAAAACTTTATTCACCGCTAAAACTCCTTACGTAAAGATGCGGCAGTCTTTAAGCTGGCTAATAATACCCAATTCCTGATCTTACTGCTTTCATCGTTTAATAACCACACATGTTTCAACATTTTAAAGAATAAAAAGACAATGAATGCCAATACCAAATACCTCACGTTTCAATTTCAAATATTTTTCCATTCAAAACAAAATGAAATTTACTATTAATGAGATTTTTTATTTTAGTACCATTTCAACACCTTTTTAGTGGCCTTTACACAAAAGGCAATAAATACTAATAGCGAAAATTCATTAGTTTTCCAATAGTGTCGATAGCAAAAATGCTCGAATTCAAGCTCGAAAGCAATAATTTTAGTTAGGAGGTAAGTCAGCGTTTAACACCCACTGAAATATAAATTTTAAACTTTTGTTTTTTATATGTATGTATCTACCAAAAGAAAGTTGCATTTATGAATGTATAACAAAAAAAAAATTATATATGTACATATTTCATTAGCGTATGAAGCAATAATAAAAAGCAACAATAATTTTTTTTAGCCAACTGTTTTTTGGAATTTCAACGTGAGCCGCGATAAATTCATGAATTTCAATTGGAAATATATTAATAAAAAGTGTAATGTTGTGCAGAAAAGTGTTAGAATACAAAAAAATAAATCAGCACTGAATATATTTAAACACAAATACTCGTATGCATATGAACTTCTTTTTCTCTAAATTTTTACGTATAAAACCACCGATAATTCCCGCAATAAATTAAGTCAGCCCAAATAAGCACATAAGTAACGATTAATTACAAAGTAGCTATCCTCTTTTTTAGCATTTTTCTTTCTCGCAACTATTGCCAATTAATTTGTATAACCAGCTGCGCCTACGTCAATAAGGTAGATAACACACGCTTTCACACTTACCATTCGTAGCCTTCAGAGTAGCGTACGATGAAAGGTGGCAATGCAAACGCTTTTTCTATGCATTCGTCTGTAAAATTCCAAAAGCTAAAGTCAACTTTCTCATGTAAACACCCGAAAAGTACTTTTTTCCAAACTTTCTAAAATCAGTTTTGGAAATAAAACTTGCTTGTTGCTTTCTACGAATAAATAAATTTGCTCATGCTGAACTAACAATTTAAATTTTAACATTTGCAAGTGAAATTTACTGCAATAGCGTGTAAATAAACATAAAGTAATTTCAGAAAGTTCACTTTTCTGAAACTAAAAACCGCTTTCGAAAAACATTCAACATTCAAGGTGTAACTGCTTTTGCAAACACTTTTCGAAATTTTTTAGTTAGGCAAACATTTCAGAACTACTTGCACTTGCTACATCTAAAAGCTACTTAATGTGTAGTAATAAATATTAGTATCAACAAGCTGCTTATATAAGTATATATGTATGTAGGGTAGGGCGGGTTGATTTGTCTGGATGAAAAAAATTACAAAACGTATAGCAAAAACGTAATCTACATTAAATTCTAAGAAAATTCTCTGAAGAAACCATGGGTCTAAAATCAAACCCTAATCCGCGCCTCTCGACTTGAAAATTTTTTACTTAGGTGAATATTTTTTTAATGAAAAAAAAAATTTTATTGTAGAAGAAATATAAAGTGCAAAAGAACTACCTTACTAAACAATTTTATTCAGAAAATTCGATTTCTTTTTGGAAAAACCTATTTTTTCTAACATTTGTTTTTTTGGCAAAGGCGGCCATATAAATTTTCAAGTCGAGAGGCGCGGATTAGGATTTTATTTTAGATACATGGTTTCTTCGGAGAATTTTCTTAGAATTTTATGTAGTTTACGTTTTTGCTATACGATTTAAAAAAAAAAAAAAATCAACCCGCCCTAATGTAGGGCCTTACTCTAGGAAACTGCACTCAATAAGGCAAATGTGGTCGGTGTGACAGTTAATAATAAAAAAAATTTACTGACAGAAGTACCGGTCGGTTTATTTTAATTAAACTTGCGTAATGTGGATTCATTGTTTTTTTTCTTTTATTATTATTATTTTAAGTTAAGTTAGCTTGTGATTGACAATGATCGTTGATGGTGATTTTAATTTCACCCGGCTCCTAAACGACTCTTATATATTAGGAAAAATATACAACTCGTTTGTTCTCATAAAAATCTCTAAAAGATTGATAAACTTATACGACCAGAAAACAAGACAATGGAAAACAAGTAATTTTTAAGCAAAAAACAAAACCGATTTCAATTCTCATAAAAAATTAAGAGTATCGTTAATTTCGTCATGATCCAATGATTTGATCTAAACCAAATTAGTATGGGACCAACTGTGCATCTTTCCTTAAAAAAAAAAAAGAATTATAGAAGTCAGTTAACGTGGACCAAAGTTATGCGGTAATATAGATACATAAAAACAAACAAAAATATCCCGACGAATTGATAACCTCCTCCTTTTGTAATCGGTTAGAAATGTAAAGTTTTCAACATATATCGTGTATATAAATTTAAAAATCACCGCAATTTAAAATTTTTAGAGTTTTGATAGTTTTTAATTTCTTGAAGTTTCCCCTTTTTAATAACTTGAGTGGAATTCCAAAATTTTCTAAACTTTCAAAACTTTGTGAATTTGAAAAATTTTAGTAAATCCAAATAATTCAATATAACGATGAATACTAGATTTCTAGAAATTTTTTATGTTTCAAAAATTTTGAGAATTGTAGGAATTGTAACAAATTTTTTCTATTTTTTCGAATGTTTGAAAATATTTTCATATTTCGTCGTTTTTGAAAATTTAAAAAATGATTCAAAAAATTTTTTGACGTGATGTTTTCAAAATTTTCAAAAAATTTAAAATTCTCAAAATTTGTTATATCAATACAAAATTTTGGGAAAATTCAGAAAAATGGAAAAAATTTGGAATTTTTCAAAAATGTTAATATTTTTTAGAATTCTAAGAATTTTCTATTTTTTATACACAAGTACATGAACATAAGAATTTTTCGACAGTTTGTGATGTTTCAAACTTTTACATTTTATGATGGATTTTAGGATAAATAAAATTCTCAAAATTTTGGAAAATATAAAAATTTCTAAAATCTCAATAATTTTGTACATTTCAAAATATTCTCATTTTACCAAAATTTCTAGAATCTCCCGGATTTCGATAGTTTTTAAAATTTTGGAAATTATCCTAAAAATTAGAAATCTCAAGAAATTTAATAATATTATAAAATTCAAAATTTTGAAATTTCCCCAATTTCCCCTACCTGGGTCCGCCACTGATATTTGCCATTGTCAGTTTCTATGTACGTGTGTATGTATGTATTTACATTAGACTGGGTTGGTGCCCAACCAAAAATAATATAAATTTGCTATGACCATATGGCATCTACATACTACGGCTTCAAAATCTCACAAACGCTTAATATGCGTGATTCATGCTTAGCGTGCACACAAAATGCATTAACCGCAGGATTGCAACAAAAGTGTACATATGACTATGTGTTGAAAATTATGGCACGTTTCGAAGGGCTTCTATGGTAAATGTGATAGAAAACTAACCAGTCAAAAAGTATTCACCATTTGGCGAGAGCACGTGCTTCACTCTGTAAGTCGTGTGCATGTGTGCTGGTGAGAAACTCTACACTGAGAAAAGTGTTTAGTTACGTCAAATAAATATATCTACATCAATTTTCAAACTACGTCCAAATCGTGTGCTAAGCGTAATACATATATTTCTTTAACGCTTTTAACATTCATATATTTTAAAAATACTTTCTACACATTTATTTCACTACCAGCAGAGATTTGCAAACTAACGTAACATTTTCTTCACCCTCCGTTACAGATGATTTTGCGGATAACAGCGGTTACGCTCTTGTTAGCGGTCTGTCTCAGTGATGCCGTAGTCGTGAAGTCACGAAGAGAGGGATTTGATAGCTATGGCCCTCCACCACCCCGACCAGCGCCACAGTATGGTCCACCGCCGCAACAACATCAGCCACATCGCGAATATGGTGTGCCACAACAAATACCGTTCCGTGAGTATGGCCCACCAGCGCTCAAATATGGGCCACCCAAGTTTATTAGCGGTGGTGGCAGTAGCAGCAACAGCTTTAATAACGGATTCCATGAGCAAATCAAATCACATTTTGGCGTGCCTAAGCCATTTTATGGACCTCCACATATTCAGCATAAACCTTCCGCTAACTATGGTCCACCACCACAACCGCAATACGGCCCACCTCCACGGCCTTCTGCACAGTATGGGCCACCACCGCAAAAGCTATCATCGCAATATGGTCCACCGCCACGTCCAAGTTATGGCCCGCCGCCACAGTCGCTACCATCGCCATTCCCTGCACCATTATTTAAGCCAGAGCATTCTCCGGCCAGCTCTTATGGGCCACCACCATCTGGCCCGCTCAATTTGCCGCCAAAACCCGTCTATGGTCCACCCAAGCCCTCTTATGGTCCACCGCCTTTGCCTTTAGGGGTAACAGGTCCCGGACCGGCACCAGCTAATTTCAATAGAGTGCCCGAAACCACGATTATACTAACAAGTGGAGGCGGTTCTTCTGGCGGTCATGGTGGCGGTGGCATTATTGGAGGCGGCGGTGGCGGCGGTCCAGTTAAACAAGTACAAATCCAAATCGACGCTTCAGGTCATACGCACAGCGTGAGTGGCTCACAAGCTCCCTTTCACACTGCATGCGATGGCTGGAAGCCCATACCGGCACCATCTGGCTCCTACGTAGAGGGCAACAACATCGACACTCAATCCGGTTATAGTCAAGTGGCTCAGGGTAACTTCGGTACACAGTATAGTGGTGGGGCAGGTGTATCTGGCGGAGGTGTCGGTGCAACTGGCAGTGGTGGCAACGTTCTTGATGGACTGACGGATGCACAACTGGTTGCCGTAGCACTACAATCGGGTGACTTCGGTACACACATACGCGGCCCTGAGCTCCCACCATCTGGGCCAGCAGGTGACTTTAAGCAACAAAACATCAATTCAATTGAAACTGACGCACTACAGGTAAGCGCAGAAAATTTCTAATCCTACGTTCCAAGAAATATTTGCATCAATTTTGTATTTCTCCACAGGTTTCTCTTGGCGTCGGTGATGATTCGTACAGCAAACCACCGCTAGACTCCTTCGCTCCCGGCTCAATTCATGCGCAGAAATACAACAGCATTGGTGGTAATGGCGCTCCACCTCCACCCAGTGGTAATTATGGCCCACCTTCGCCAGTGAACAGCTATGGTCCACCACCCAGCGGTAACTATTTGCCGCCACCAAGTGGAAATTACGGCCCGCCACCACCACCCAGTGATAATTATGGTCCACCACCGCCACAAGCTTCTGGCGGTCATTTTGTACAAGAACAGCATTCCTCATCTTCCTCTTCCTCCTCATCCCACGTTGGCCTCCAATATGGTTCACAGTCTGGAAATTTACTTAATGTTCCAACGCACGGTGCTTCGCAACCCAGCCGTCCGGTGGCCTTCCGTCCGCCCGTGCCTCAGGGTCTACTCGAGTCGATTGGCGCCACAGTACAGCATTTGGATCAGTTTGGAGTGAAACCACCTACCCAGTCACCCACATACATTCCACCCGCTGCTAATGAAATTGCCGAACATGGGTCTGGTAATCTTGGTCCTGATTATGCGCCGCCTCCACCGCCTGCGCAAGTAAACATTCCTCTCGGCGTGATTGAGCAACAGTTGCCGCAACAGCAACCGCCTCGGGCCTTCGCACAGGTAAATCAGCAACAACAACAACAAAGTCACGCACAAAACACACAACACTTCCACCATCTACAACAACAACAACATCAGTTCCAACAACAGCAAGGCTCATTACAGCAATTTCCGCCATTACTTCCACCACCACCACCACCGCAAGCTCAATTTAAATTTTTACCACCTTTGCAGGAACAACATGGCAACTCACTGGACCAATACGGCCCACCCTTGTCACCACCTCCACCACAGCAACAGTATCTCCCTCCACCACCACCACCACCACCACAGCAAGAACAACAACAACATGGCCGCCCCTTCCCACCACCACCATCCCAACAATACCTACCCCCTCCTCAAACTGGCCCAGTGACATTCGAACAGCAAAATAGTGCCGCTTCAAGCTCTAACTTCGAAAGCGCCTATGCCTCTTCGCAGCAAAACGAACAGTTCATTCATGCGCAGGGCTTGCCACTACTGCAAGAACCCCGCTTCGCACAAGTGCACGATTGCGGCCAAGGGCCAAATCTAGTCGGCGCAGGCTATCAGTTGCAGCAACAAAACCAGTACCACCAGCAGCAGCAGCAACAATTCCAGCAGCAGCATGCACAACAATATTCGGCCTCCAACTCAATCTCTAGCACTTCATNGCAGCAGCAACAGCAATTCCAGCTGCAGCATGCACAACAATATTCGGCCTCCAACTCAATCTCTAGCACTTCATCAAATGCATACAACGCCATTTCACAAAGCATTCCTGTGGCCGAGCAGCATACGCAATTCCTCGAACAAGAGCCAGCAGACAGCTACGGATTACCGCAGTCGGGTAACGACATCGATCACGACTACGATGGCTATGCGTCACAGAAGTCTGCAGTGGCCGCTTTGCCAGACGGCACCGATCCACAAGATCTGCCCGGCCTCGATGGGCTCAATGTGATTTCAGCACAAAAATCACAGTCTATACAGCTCTCACCCGAGCAGGTAAGTGGCGCAGCGCACTCGCAACACGAACCGACTTTCCAGTTGGATATCGCGGGCAATGGCGTCAAGTCGATTCAAACCGAGCAATCGGCCAACCATGAGGAAATACTCTCCGAAGGTTTACTGCAGTCCATTTTGACGGCTATCGAACAGCCCCAGTCCAAGAATGTGCAACACCAGCATTCAGTGCAGGTAATCACAAATCAAAATAGCGGCTCTTATGGCCATGGCGCACAAAGTCGTTCCGATACAGACATTAACGAAGATGCAACGCCCGACGACGAACACGAGCCAGAAGTTGCGGAATCCGAAAAGGTTGAAGTGCATGTAAATGCCGATGGCGAAGAAATGGCGACTGTAAAGGAAATTAAACCGATTGTGGCAGCAGAGGTAGAAGATGAGCAAGCGAAGCATTAGCGGAAAGTGAAATAAAAAATTACTATTGGGTATTGATATGAAAACCAGTCACAAAAAAACAAAAGTGGCGCACACACTGCATGCTTTACAGCGACTGGGTGTATATTCGTAGTTACATATGTAAGATCGATGCTAGTTACCATTACTATTCTTATGCAACTACTTAATTTATTATTAATCGATAATCACAGGATATTTAATGTTTTGAATGAATGAATTTTCATCACCAAGCAATGAAATATTTACTACCGTAAGCTGTCGTTAGTGTTTAAGTTCTTACCTATATCGCGCCATTCTATTTATTAGTAAGCGTGGCATTCATTCTCTTTTCATGTCATGCACCATTCGTTCTTAATCACTTTTCATTAAAGTTGCCATATGTTAATTTATGTATGTATATAGCTTTGCCTTTGTTCTGGGAAAATCTAAACCATGTTTGTTTATATTTTTCAACATCTCCAAGGAATAAGAACATTTGGCAAAACGAAAGAAAGCACCTTTTCATTTAATAACTAAACGAAAAGTAATTATTAACGAGCAAAAAATCATGTAAATTATATAATAATAATAAAATACTTATGTTTATATAAATTCAATTACGATAATTTATTTAAAATAAAATACATTCGAAAATTCAACTTAGTATTTGATTCCTTAAGCAGGGATCACACGATTTGTACATTTGTACAGGTTTGTACATTTTTACAGCCGCAGAGTGGTGTTGTCGGGAAATTCTTTTATTGAGCTGAACTAAATTTCTAAACAATACCACTCTGTGACTGCCAAAGTGAACAAATCTGTCCAAAATTTACCAATCATGCGATGCCTGCTTTAGTAGGAACGCTTACATTGCCAGGCAGAAGAAAGTATCCAAGCCGCAAAGTCTAGGGTATTTTAGTCACTGTTCTATGAACGAAGTCAAAGCAGACCGGGAGAATTTAGAAACTTTTGAAATACGTCCACGCTGATTCAGACTTCCTTCTAATTCCCTCTATTCGGAATATAATTTTTCGCTCAATAGCACCACCATTTATTTACCATATTTACCATGATTTTTAATATTTTTTGACGTAGAATACGTCTTACCTTAAGGTATGGGGGCTATGTTCAAATGTTGTAGTTGTAATTTTTAGAGCTTCACAAAAACGCTTATTGCACGAGAACTAATAAAGCGATTTCAAAGAAAAGTGTGGCGTTTCAAAGA